CATACATTCATACATACATACATACATACATACATACATACATACATACATACATACATACATACATACATACATACATACATACATACATACATACATACATACATACATACATACATACATACATACATACATACATACATACATACATACATACATACATACATACATACATACATACATACATACATACATACATACATACATATATACATACATACATACATACATACATACATACATACATACATACATACATACATACATACATACATACATACATACATACATACATACATACATACATACATACATACATACATACATACATACATACATACATACATACATACATACATACATACATACAAACATACATACATACATACATACATACATACATACATACATACATACATACATACATACATACATACATACATACATACATACGTACATACATACATACATACTAACATACATACATACATACATGTAAAATTTCTTCGTTCGCGCGAAGTCGCAACATACCCATTTTGAGTCGCAATGGTCGCAACACAAATCTCTGCCCGATTTCACAAATTTTTAATATTGTTAAGCTGACTGAGAAAAAAAGAAAAAACTTGATATATGAGCAATCGCATGCAGCCCACTCTAGCACAGCATAGTACTTCAAGGTCGAGAAAATTATTTTCGGTCTAGACATTCGAAAAATATCTTGCTTGAGTCGAACACGATCGAGCACATTTTTTGTGCTCGAGACTGCAAAAAACTATCTTGCTTGTGTCGAGTAGGTTCGAGCATACTTTTCCAAGTTGTAGAAAGTACTTCAACTGCTTTTTAGCGTCAAATTGCCTTTTTGATTGCTTTTTAATGGTTTTAATTGCTTTTTTTTATTAAATCGCTCGCAAACCGCTCAAAGCTTGCGTGAAAAACAGTTCAAAAACCGCCGCGAGAAATGAGAGGTTTTACAAAGCAAGAATTGAGCGGTTTGAGAAGTTTTTCCAAAAAAAACGACCAAATCGCTCAAACCAATCAAACCGCTCAAACCTTGCAGGAAACGGCTCAAGCCCTTCAAGTCTTGAGTGGTTTTGAGCGGGATCTCGACCCTGGGACGAATAGGAGCAACCCGATCAGAATTTGTTCAAAACACTGTGGCTCTTTTTTTGTGATTGTAGTGTTTTCAATAACTGAGTTTTCCATAACTGATCCCTAGGTGCGTTTTATTGTTGTTACATCTCCCACTAGATGGAACAGCATTAAAATTGGAAAAATTTCGATATCATAAACTTCTTGCTTTCCCATTATACCGTCGATCTATTGATAGAAAAAAAAGAGTAAGCCTAACATCAGTGTTAGATTAAACAGTTGTACCAACCAATCAGACGAAACATCGATAGCGTGACATGACAAACAGACGGTGAGGTCAAACTCAAACTGCACTACAAAATATAACGTCCCCGCATCCAAGTTTTGGCGTAAGTAATCAATTATGACGGACTATTATGATGATTTGTTGACAATTATAATTGATTATGATTTGCAAAATTATATTTCTAAGTGTTTTTCAATCACTTATAATCGTGATATTTTCCAAGTGATTAAAATCTCTTATAATCAATATAATTAGTTCAGACAAAAAACCCTTAAAATCATTTATAATCGGTTATGATCGATTATAATCTGTTATTTTGCCAAAATTTTGTCACAGCAAAACGATTTTTGAAATAAATCTTATTGGTTCATAATTTTCTGTCAATAACAAAATCTCTAAAAGCGAGAGCTCTTGTCACACTTTCTTTTTACCACGAAACCAAAGTTTCATAGAGATCCTTTCATACTAGTTGAAAGGTTGCCATGGTAGGGGAAAATTAAATCTTCCGAATCAATCAAGAAACTAAAACAATTTGCTGATATTTTTGTGGTTAGAAAAGCTTCAAATGTGCATCAAGAAACATTTTTAATGGAAAAGGAACAAAATAAAACGTCAAAAAATTGAACTGACTTGATAAATTTAAAAACAGTTTTCTCAATTTTCACAGGAACCAACGTTTATAAAAAGCATAAATTTTAGGAAATTCAGATACAAGCTCGATGACAAAATGGGCAAACATAAGGGATTATAGTAGATTATAATTGGTTAAAATGGATTTTTGTGCAAAACTCGTGAATTAGAAATTGGGATACAAAAAAGGATTATTATCGATTTTAATTGATAATAATAGTTTGAAAATTAGATGGATAAATAATTGATTACAATCGATAAAAATCTGTTATAATTGATTATAGTTTGATTCCAAAGAGCGGTTACATTCGATTAATAACTGATTAAAATCGTTTTTTTTTTTCAGTTTCAGTAAAACTGGTACTAAATTTCTAATATAATTGACTATTAACGCTTGAAACTGAATGCGGATCGGTCAAACTCCAATTATTTTAAATGGGTGCGTTCAACAGTGCCGATGTACAACAGTGCCAAAAGTGAAAATGTGTTCAACAGTGCCAAAAATTGATAACCTTTTAAAATTTTGAGTTCTGTTTGTGAATTTTTGGCAACTTTACGTGAACACTGTTTTGTTTTGGGAGCGAAACGAAAAGTAAAACTGGCAGTTTGCTGAAATAATTGTTTGTTCAGAAAACTTTATGGCGCCGCGGGGGGGGGAACTGGGAAACTTTTGTTTGTTTAACAAGCGACAGCAATTATAATGGTCATTTGTGTCTTTTCAACTTCCGTCCATTTGAATAATTTTACATGTCAGTGATTTGGTATGAGTAAAAACACTATGTAGAAAAAACTTTCGGCAATGTTCAGCATTTTCTTGTTCGGCACTGTTGTACTGCCCCCTTTCTAACTAACAATCTGTATAATCTATTCTACAAAAGAGAGCTTAGATTGAATCAAAAGCATGAAAGTTTTCTTTCTCTTTGCTGGCCTAACTTTTTACATGCATAACATTGCGCCATCTTCAGCTAAGCTTTGTACACAGAGACGAAGCTGCATTTATGAATTACAAGCGCGAGAAACGGCAAAACCTAGCTCTACAAGGCCGAACACGAAGCGTAAAAGAAAAACAAAAAAGATGTGAAAAATTTATGCTAAGTGCAGGAACCTTTGACTTGGAAGTTAGGAGTACCAACAGCGCACGATAGCCTGAAAATGTTTCAACCTTTGCTACCAATAAGGCAGCTATGGCTACTATTACACTGCCATTGCTTCTCCGCAAAAATACCATCAAATAAAAATAACACATTCAATGTGTCCAAACTGAACCACCGACTTGCAGATTAGATTTAAAAACCGAATTATATTTGATAGCATACAAAAAAATTATAGATACAAAAGATAATGCCGAACTTTTCATAATGTATCAAAGGGTAGAAAATTGGAAATTTACCAAGGCCACTGCAGATCCATAAAAAATTCGGTAAAAAAATTTGGAGAGGAGATCATTAGATTGAATCATTAGACTGACTTCCTATCTGCAGAATCGGCACCGTCATTTTTGGGAAGTTGAACTTAGTCCAAAAACAGGCCATTAGATTATATATTATCTAAGTCTGTAGCCAATTCTCAAACAAAATTGTGAGAATTTGCTCAGGCATAAGTTACTCCGTACAACTTAATTGTTCGGTTGAGCTCTTAATCTAAGATTTGGAGCCGTAGTTTCCAATAAAATTGAGTGAAAGTCCAAAAACTAACATAATAACAAAACAGCACCCTTGCTTTTTCCGATATTGCACTTTCTTCAAAAAATAGGGCGTAGCTGGTATGCGAAGAAGATTCCTAGCGCATAATCTTTCAAAAAGCGCGTTGTCCTAAAATGGTTATGTGTACTTGAGAAAGCTCAAAAACTTCAAAACTCTTCAAAAAGTCAAAAATTTGACATTTTTTGTAGCTATAGACGTTTTTGATGAACTGCAAAAATTTGTCAAAATCTAAATAATGGATAAATAAAAGCTTCCAAAAAATGGCCAAAGTTTCAAAACTAGACAATTTCTATTGCTATAATTTTTTTCTACAAACTTTATTGAGTAGCACTTGCATGAGTAGCGCTCAAAACCCCACTTGCAAATTAAATTTGATCTCCGGTTTTTGGCAGGGCAGTTCCAGGAATTATCAAATTTTCAGCCTTCGACATTTTCAAAGCCACAACTTTTTTCCACAATAACAAGGTCTTTTCAGTTTATGCTGATGACAGTCCCATATTGTGTTCGATTGTTCAAACTCTTAGTGTAATATGTTAGTGCCCCCCATCTCTGATTCGACCCCTTGACCACCTAAAGGATCCCACTTTGAAACTACTTTAAAATATCAATTTTTGGCTGACCGCTCCAAAAAATTTTCAAAAGGCAAAGTCGGTTTCAATAAGCACTGAATTTGAGAAGGAGCGTGCGCTGTAATTAAGAAGAGATAAAACCCACTTTTTTTTATCAAAAGGCGCCTTTTTGCCTGTTTTAAAAAAAAAATTTGGCAAGAGCGCACAAAATTTAGTCAAAATAGAATCTTAGTAATTCTAAGTCTATAAATCTGTATGTGAGACCTGAAGAAAAGGTCGACGGCAAAACCAGAAAATCAGTTTGTTCGTCCCAAAAAAAGTCGAAAAACTTTTTTTAAATGTTAGAAAGTCCGCCTCCCCCCCTCAAGAATATCTTAGATCCGCCCCTGTTTGGATGGATCAATTAGCATTTCTCAATTCAATTTGGAAAGGTTTCTGAGACTGAATTGTTCGCAGTTCACGCAGTGTAGTGATTCGTACAACCACATAGGTTTACCAAAAAGGGTCACAGGTGAAGTATCTTTTCAATTTTGAGCTGAATGCATCAATATTTTTCAAACTCTGTCAAATTTGGTCAAACATTGTTTAATAAAAAGTCGAAATTACGGTACGGTGACAATTACGAGAAACAAACGATACGGTGAAAAAATAATCCGTCACTTTCTTCTAAAGTCGGGACAATTAAATCGAGTGTGGTGGAATCAAAACTGTTTATCTGTTAAAAATTAATTTCGAGCTTTTTAAGCGAGATTTTTGCTACAGATTGCAAAAAATAAATGTACAAAACAAGGCAGCAAAATTATCAATGCTAAATGCAACTTTAAAATACTATTTAATCTGATTTCTAGCCAAAAAGTCACACGCAATGTTACTTGTGCGACCTGATTATACTAATACTGCAATACTTCAGCTATGCTATTTAATTATAAAGGAGCAATTTACGATTTGAAATTTTTGAAAAATTAAATAAATTTTGAAGTTGCGGTCTCTGCATGAGACACACATGAAGCCACGGATGATTTTTTGTCTGGATGCGTTAAAGTATTTTGGTTACTATTGCTTGTATTGCCAAACATTATCGGCGTCTGTCGTCCACCAAATGACTGAAGGCCATTGGCTGGTTTCGAACCGGTTCCCGATGAACTAAGAGCAGTCAAGTCACCACGTGACGAACTGTTACCGTTACTCCTCAATGCTTCACTACCATTTAAGGAAGTTTTTCGCGGTGCGCTCTCGTTAGCTCTTGGAAGTGTAGGACTTGGTTTATTTCCACTTCGCCCGGCGAATGTTTTGAGCGAATTGTTTTCGGGTCTATATGGACCGAACTCGTTACTTTTCACACTCGTATCTCGGTCTTCGTTTTCTCTAATCTCATTGGTTGGTGACTTGAGTGACGTCATTGCAAGCTGATTGTTTGGTTGGGATTGTGGAATATTGTGTTTAGGAGTGTTTTGGAAGGTTGCAGAGGTTCTGCGTGGCGTGTCGTTCTCAGCCAGAGTCAATTGCGGTTGGACTACATTCGGAGATGACATTTTTCTTTTCATGGATCCAGCTTCAGAGCCTAAAACACAGACGAATTAATTTTTTGATGCAATCTTTGAACCTTTTTATGAAATCTTAGTTAAAATTAAGAAAATTAGTTTCAGTTTGCAAAAAATGGGTCATTTCTTTTCCAAGTCGATAAACCCATTTTGAGAAAACCAAGTTTATATAGCAAATCTAAGAATTTAGAAGCTTCCAGAACCAAACTAACAAGGTCAAAAATCTTACTTGACAAAGTGTTCGATTCCAATCCCATTTGCTGACCAGAAACAGATCCTCTCTGGCTACCCATCACATTTTGACTCGGACCAGTCTGACCCACAGGTGCATTGTTTGGCTTCTTCGGGGGCACGGGGGGAGGGGGACACTCGGTGTGGTGCTGCTCCCCCGAAGAGCTGTTGTCGTCGTTGTTGAGTTGAATGAGGGACGAATGAGGATTCTCCTCCGAGTGATCGGTGAGTGCGGTCAGTAGCTGAGGGAAGTCGGGACGCTCCTCCGGGTTCTCACGCCAGCACCGGATCATCATGTTGTACCTGGATAAAGATCTTTAATTATTATTTGAACGGTGCTCACTTCAACGAAGCTTCATTGAAAATATGGAAATCAATGCGATTTTAGGTTGATTTTCAGTTATTGATACCAAAGTTAAGAGAAAAACAGAGTTGAATTTTGAAGTTGTTTCTGTAAAAAATGGGTTTATAACTAATAAATGTTTTTCTAAAGAGGAGAAACCATCTCATAGAGGTCTTACTTTGAACTATTGCAGTATGTTATACATATGACTATTGTAGACTATTGTATAATAGAAAACACTTGTTACTCACAGAGTGTCTGAGCATGTGTTCGGTTGGTCCATCCTGTATCCCGTGAGGAGGGTCTTAAGGAGGTCTGCAGAGGGGATGTTGGGGAAAGGCACACTGCCCAAAGTGCACAGTTCATACAACACCACTCCGAAACTCCATCTGGAACAAGGGATGATCAAATAACCATCAATTGGACGAGTAGCACATGAGAGTCCCCATTTACTTTTAAAAAATATCTCTTAACCAAATTGAGTTTGAAAAAAGGGTTATATAAAATCGCCATCAGACGATGAAAAAAAAATACATATCAGACAAATAATTCAAATCAGTCGCTCAAAATTTTTTTTTGTGAAATGATATCGTTGTTACTTAAGTTGTTTCAGTATTTGCAGTTCGCATAACCAATACTGGTTAAAAGAGTTTTCCGTGGCGTATTTTTGGAAAATATGCTTGAATACTTTTATTTTTTCTTGAAAAAAGAATTGCAATGGTCTAATAATAATACATTTGAGAAAAGCGCGAGTCTGGATTAATTGAAATAATCTATGCTCAAATCTTTATAAAATTAGTCGCAAAAAGTCTGAAAATAGATTGACAAGGAAGATTGTTCTTACACGTCACTCTTGGGTGTGAATGTCTGGTCCTGTAGCACCTCAATTGCCATCCACTTGATCGGCATCTTCCCGCTGATTCTAAAACCAGAAATCATGTTAAGTCAACTCGTTTTTCAGGCGCAGAGATCATAACTGACCGAACATTTAAGGATAAAGTTAAAAATAAGGGTTGTTTATTCGCACTAATCAACGGCTGGGCTGCGAGACCTCTTATCTAGTAATTTAGCCCCATGCTAACTAGAGCATAATATCTAACGGTAGAAAAGACTATTTCAATGGTTCAGCACACGCGATTGATGTATACCTTCTGATGAATCGCCTCCTTTTTTCATTTGGGGGGGGGGGGGGGTGGTCAATGAGATCTGATGTTTGTCACAACCGGGTTTCGAAGTACTAATACAGACTATTGTGAGAATTTAGTTTGCCCAAATATAAGCTGAATGGTTCACTGCAGTATAATAAATCTGTGTTTACCGTGATAAGTACTCTGGGTGTGAGTATGCGAATCTGACCATAGAGTAGTCCCCCACTTTGACAGAGTAGTCTTGGGTGAGGAGAATATTCCGACAGGCCAGATCTCTGTGGAACAGACCTTTCGACGACAGATGACTCTAAAATTAAAAAATAATATTCAATCAATTTCCTTGAAACTATAACACGAGACTAGTAGCAATTGTGATAAATTATCACTTGAAGTATTGGTTTTCAGTTCCGCGACCAAGAGTTCTACCCGAGCTCAATAAAACCACAAACTATTAGCATGGATTACAAATTATAGCGCAACACCGAACTATTAGACTCCGAGCAGCTTTTGATGAATTTTTATTCGATACAATTTATTGTACTTGGAAATTTGCATTGGATTTTCTTAAAATGAGAATTTATAATTTTTCTTCACTTTTAAAAAATCGTAATGGGTAAAACAATTCTGGTCAACTAAAAAACTACGAAACTCACCATAGCGAGACATATCTGTTTGGCGAATGCCTCCAACATGCAGTTGGAGGGGGGCACGAGGTCATCCTGCTGCTTACTTCTGTTACTCCACAGACCCTGTGAGCGGGGGAGGGTGCGCAGGGTGCTGTAGTTGGGGGAACTCTGCAGACTGTATTCGCTCTCATTTGAGTCCTGAAGTGAAGATGGAAAACATAGTGAGATGTCGTTTCATCAGGATAATGACTAGTTGTTTGGTATAAAATAAAAAAAAGTCATTCCTAAGAAGCTGAGTAAGAGAATACTATTTTTGGTGTTCTAACTTATCTTTGAAAACTATTGGATATGTAATTTTTTCTCAGCGCAGTTTGAGTGGAGTGCTGAGGATTTTTAGCATTCAAAAGAAAAAAATATGCTTTCCATTATTGGTTTTTTAAAAATAAAATCTCGTTAATATTATCTTTTTGAAAAATATATGTGGATATAAGAAACCAAGCCTACCATTTTAAACATGCGCAGATAACCCAATAAATCGCCCTGGCATCCATCTTCCAGCACCATACACATAGGCGCAGTCAAAGTCGTGCAGGCCAGCAAGTTCAGCAGGTTATCATGGTAACCAACTCTCTTTAAGATCTCGACCTCTTTGCGGAAGTGCAACTTGTCTGTTTCACTCACGGACTCTGAAACACATGAATGTTCACACTGAAACAGAGTTAAATTGGCATGAAATGTTGCCTTTCAATAGAATATAAGCATTTAAGGTATAGAACAGCTATTTTTAACTGTGAATTTCAATGAAGATCTCGCGGTCGACAATTGTTAGAAACACACCAAGCTTGAATAGTTTTTATGAATATCGCATCACGCGTTGTTTGATTTGTACCTGCTAGCATTTTGATGACAGATGGAAGTATGGTTTTCTCCGGCTGAGGGTGACTAGGGGATCCAGGCACTCCTGGAGAGGCAGTTAAGGCTATGTTGGATTGCACCGGAATCGCACCCTGCAACCAGATGTGTTTGAAGCATTAGAAAATGATGATTTTGAGTTGGAAACTTCAAGATGCCACATTATCACCAAGCTTTTTGAACACGTTCATTATGTGTGGCTGATTTGCATGGTTTGAAAAATATCTTTTTTTTTTCGAAAAAAAACTCCAAAAATACTTTACAAATTTAGTCTAAATCAATAACTAATTACTTTGAAAGTGCTTTTTGCTTTTCTTCTAACCTTGTAGACTGCTCCGTATGAGCCTTGTAGTATGACGTCATACAGATATACGTCTTCCAGTTGCACCTCCCATGAGTCATACATGCCACCGCCACTGAACATTCACAACTTTTTCGTTGTTTTAAATTCACCAAATTTAAGAATGTGACAGAATGATATTCGATCGCCTTTGTTTACTTTTACTTTAATTGTAAAGCGTTTTTTTTTAAATTCTTGACAATTATTTCAGAGACAATTACTTTAGAATAAATCAGAAGCTTCTAGAAGATTGATCTTACGCTTGAGCAGCAGCGAGTGCAGCCTGTTCTTCATTCCACCAGTAGTACATGTTCGGATCCACCCCTCCTCGCATGCCTTGAGTGCCCCCCGCACAGTGCATCAGTCTGTGTCTGGCATTGTTGCGAGGTCTTATCAACTTCCTCTTCACCACAAACGACAGCAGTCCGATTAAGAGCACGATCATGAAGGTCGACATGACAATGAGGAGTGTGAGAATTGAGGCTAAAAAATCATTTTTTTTCTTCATGGTTGAAATTTTGAAAAATGGCCGGAAGCTTTGTCATATTTTATCTGATAACGAGCAAGAAACTAGAAAAATTCGAACATTTCACCAGTGTTTTCGATCAATGGGGACAGGCATGAATCATTTCAAACTCGATCTTCTTTTTACCTAATTAGTAATTTTAATATTTCGCTACCAATGCTAGCAGTGGCCTGTGCAGAAATTTTTTAAGGGGGGCGGTTTTTCAAAAAAAAATTGAAAATTTTCAAGACCTTTTTTTAGATCGACCAATTTGATTTTCTTATCTCTCCGATAATACTATAAGGACCCTGTTTTGTCAAAAATTTTCTGCTCCCGCCCCCTCCTCCCGCTCGGCACGTTACTGAATGCTAGTCTTTTAAATGTTTGAAATACGATTAAGTTTTACTTTTAGTATAAGATTTGGTTAAACTTCATTTCAGATTGTTTTCAGACTTTTCAGAAATCAAGACCTTGCACACGTTAATGTTTTTCAGTCAAAAAATACTAATTAAATAGCGATTAATTAAAGTTCTAATGAGCGTTATTTGGCATACGATTTTAATTGAGCGTTTACTAGAATAAACTTACTATGTTTCAAACAAAACTCAAACATTTACACTTCAGTACCTTGGGTACCTAAAAATACGAAACTACCTACTCATTTCTGATTCATAGAAATAATTTTCTGCTTATTACTGATTTTGTGAGAAGAAAAATTGTGAAATTTGTGTAGGTAAGGGTGAAGCTATAAATAAATCTCTGCATGAATTGAGCGAAGTGACCAAATTGGCGTCTCAGTTTATTCACGTGACTTACGGGTTAGAGATAGCAACTCTACATTGACATGTGACACGCCCTGTTTAGTACCTCCTCTTGTACCCTCAGTCGGAACTGAAACCAAAGAAATAACGTGATGAAAAGTTAATTTGATCACACCTTATCAAATGATTAATAAAACGTGTATTAGATTCGAAAATAAGTGTCTGAGAGCTTTTTTCACACTTAAATTTCTTTCTTTTTAAATTATTAAGTTTAATTTGCCTTCTAGACCATCGTCATTTTCTTTTTCAATAGAATATAGCAGGTACATATGGTGTAAATAACTTGTATAGCTCAGAAAGGGTGTTCGCAATACTTACGCGATAGTCTATACTCCTCTTCCAGTTGTCTGGACACGTACACCGAGTGGGTGATGGTGTTGGATCGAACTGTGTTACCCTGAGAAATCTGAACAAAACATAAACATTTAAAACACGTTACAAACTGTAAAACTCAAAATTTCGAAATTTTATTGTTCAAAAACTTTTTTGCTGCTTCATTATCATTTTGGAATAATAGTCAGATTAACGGAATAAAGGATTGGCAGAAGGATGATTGATGATGCGTTCGATAATTTTAACTCACTTTGACACTGTATGTTGAATCCGGTTCAACGTATAGCACATGTTTTACAGCACCCTGAAACAAAAAAAAAACAACATCTTTCATCGATTCCATTTGAAAAGTTTGACCGATCAAACAGCAATTCTAAGAGAAAAAAATGGACCAAGTTAACATCCTCCCTCCTCCCCCCCCCCCCCCCCCCCCCGAAAAATTAATTTGATCCGAAAAAATAATCGATTATTTAAAGTTGACTGGAAACATAAACAACAATTGCAAAGAAAGAATTGTGATAAATTGCTTGCTTAAAAACTGAAAACCAAAAAAAATTTAAGAAATACTAACAGAAACTACAATTTGCTTAGCATCACTGCTCTCGTTATTTCTGTTGTAAAAGTGCTTGTTCGTGTTTGTGAGACGTCTCCACTCGATGGCAACTTGGATACTACTCGGACTGGATGCGTAACTGCTGAAGACCCAGCTGAGACTAATGGCGAACTGCTTCGAGGGGGAGTAGAAGGCAGTAGCTGAACTCTCTAGGATGAGGTCGTAATTCTCACTCTGGTCGAAGGCTGAAAAATGATGACAGTTTGGAATGCATAAGTCAAAGACACTGACAACTACCATCTCGGTTAGTATTTTAAATGTTAAGCTATTTAAAAACGTATCTGAAAAATGAGAAAATGAGAAAACATATTTTTTTTCCAAAAAAAGACCAGCAAAAACTTATTTCATGCTTTTGGTATAATGATTTACGATTCTAAATGTTTCCAAGAAAGCTGAAGCCCTGTTGGAAATTCTGTTCTTGTTTTCATTAATTGTCAATCATTCAAATTTAATATATTTTCAGTTCATGTTGTTTTACGAATTCAAAGGTCTTTCAAAACTCACGGAATAGTGAATTAGAAATTTATAACCATTTTGTCAATATATGTTTGACCTGGGTTATAAATAACCAACCGGGTAAGAAAATTGTATCGAATGCGAAGGGAAAACCTTATGGGCATTAAAGGTAACCGGAAACACGACATAGTTTTGGCTACAAGAATGATCAGAATAGCCCAAATAATCAGGAACTCATTGTGGACGAAAACAGTTAGAAGCTTAAATATTTTGGCGTTTTTCCGTAAATAGAGAAAACTAATTTCAAGGGCAGTTAAGTAAATAAAAGATCACAGAAAGTTTTAACCAGAAGTTTTATAAGAAAACTGTTATCGCTGGTCTGGTAGATATAAAGAAGCAAAAAAACGGAGGTAAAACCTTAAAACCTTTCATAAACGTGACAGCTTAGAGCTGGTTTCTCTGTTTATTGATCTCGGGTGATTGATTTATAAACATTCGAAAGAAACTCACGATATTGGAAGTTGGAGCCCATTGCACTATCAGGACAGTCAGGGTTGTTCACGATGCTGTTCGCCGCACAGGGCCCTGAAAGACGCACATTTTTGCTATTTACATGTTCTTTCTTATTCAATGTCACGTAATAAATTGATGAGTCATAAAAATTAAGCTAAAAGTATGATTGACTCACTGGCTCTGTCGACCTTCAAGATCTGACTGCCTGTATCTCCATGTACACCGCACTCCAACAACAAGCTTATCTGGAACATACAAAAAGAAATTATTGAGAATTCAATTTACTCAATTGAGAACTCAAATTAATTGAGTTCAACGTCCGTTAAGAATGATTGACCGAAGTTTTTAATGCCAAAATTTCTAATGTCGAACACTAACCGAAAAAAAATCTGGGATAAGTTAATACCTGTCCAGTTACATGATAACACTATATTAGGAGATGCCTGACAACAGTTCGATTCTTACCTTAATGTGGTATTTATAACATCCTCGCTCCTCGGGTGCCTCTAATTTCAGCAGGAACTTGTTTGACTTGGTCTTCACACCAGACAGTCCAGGCACCATCTCCACTTTTCCCGGGTACGAATCACATGCCGACTTCTCAACATATAACACATACTCTGCTCTGGATCCCCAGGAAAGTAGAGCTTCAGATCTGGGTTTCTGGTAGTGGTTTGATGAGTAGGAGTTGAATGAAGAAGAGGCTTGCGTCTCGGTTCTGCTTTCGAGTTGCCACGTGACTTCAGAGAGGATCCAGCCCTGGTCGAAGTGTTGGGCACCGAAATCAATGCGAGTGGGCTGCCTCGGTACGAATGTCACTAAACATGAAGAAAAGTTGGAGTAACTGTTTTGATTTTATTTGATATGATTTTGAGTTCTCAGTTTCAAACTACTAGACTAATGTGTGATCTAACATTTTTCATTTGGTAAACACGAATTTTTAAAGCCAAAGATGATGGGCATAGTTTGGAAACCAGAAAGTTATCTACACTTGAGCGATTCTATTCAACAGCAGCTTGATCAACTTGATCGTACCTGCTTTTGAGTATCCCCTGGATCCCTGTGTGTTGACCGCAGCTACTCGGTAGAACTTGCACGTCCCGTAATTTAGTTCCATTGACTGGTCATCAATCTAAACACAATTGACCATAATCGTCACCAACATTGACCCTTATAGGAACAAAATCAGCTCTTCAAGACGCAGTGTAATAAAACTACTTCATATACGAATTATTTTTAAGGAGTTTTTGTTAATAAAAGTATTCCAGCATTATATTTTCCACCTATTTGGTTCCAACTTTTATAAAATTAGCACCTTGGATATGGGATTAGATTTTCATAATTATCACTTCAATAGTAGTCTTTTTGATAGTGAAAGCTACCATCGTATAATATCATGAATATCTCAAATGACCCATCAGTAATTCATCTCACTATCTTGAATGAAAATAGAAAATACAAATTTTCATACCATTGGTTACCATCCCGTGGTAAGTTCTAGTGTTTCTGTTTTTCTAGCCGGTGAAAAGAAAACAATGGCAACGGCTGATTGTTGATTTAAGGATATGAAAAGAAATGATTAAAAAATAAACACGCTGGTATACAAATTTGCTGAGCAAAACTTCAGTGTTCACTTTTCAAAAAATTATTGACTTATTTGAGCAAACATTGGCGTCTGTAAGCCAAAATTGTCTTGCAATCTTCAGCTGACCAGACAAACATCGTCCCACATAGTTTAATGAGCCTAGCGTGATGAGAAAACTTTGCATTGATTTATGCCTGAATATCGAATCTCAATTCTGAGCAACGAAGCCCAATGTTGTACCATTTTTCTTGTTGTATTTTTCGTGTTTCTCTTGAAAATATAGTAAAAATCATCAGCATAGACATATATTTTCGTTCTGTTTCGTCGGTTATAATTTATTTCATAGGAAGGAAGGAAATTTATGATTCTATGCACTTGAGCATATTTATGGCTATTTAATGATGCTATGACCTGGCTACTTAAATTGTCTTAAGTCGGGGGCCGGAAAATGGCATCAATTTTTGCCTCTCATTACCTGTCCAATACACCTGTTGAAGAATGCAATCACGGCCAGATTCATTAGCCTTGCTTCCTAGGTCAGACTTGGCTCAAATTATCTCCTATCTTTTCCAGGCGTTTCCAGCTATCCGGAAAATATCAGTGAAAAAATAGCGCCTATAGTGCAAAGTAATCAACATAGAAAATATCCAAGGGCGGAATTCAACCTAAAAAGATCGATTTCCTGTCTTGAGTCTAGTTGAGATTTTCGAAAATGAGATTAAAAAATGACTAACATAAGAAGATATCTGTTAAATAACCGTAATGGGCCGTTTTTTAAGGTGTGCTGAAATACCTTGAGGAGGATTTATCCATTGGAAGTTAAAAGCAAACAACCCGTGGCAGCTCATGCGCTGAAGATTGACACTCATTTTGCGCATTGCAACAAATATACTCGAAAATCACTGAGGTCGTTGATTCTTTCTCAAGCATTTTCTTTTCTCCAAATGACAGTGAAAAAATACTTGTTTTCAAACTCGGAAAATTTTTTCAAATCCTAATTAGCACTAAATAGCCTCTTTTTTGGCGAATACCAATTTTAACCCATTCAGTTTCCGTTTAGAACCAAAAAGTAAAATCTTCACTTTTATAAGAGTTTTGTTTTGCATTTATATGCTAAAAAGCTTTTTGCACTAATATCACTCTTGTATTTAAAAATAGCAGACTACGTTAAAAAACCCCTTTATTGATAGAAGTTTGCGGACGTTTTTGAAAGCGGTATTTTAAGTTTTTAGGAGACATCAAAGGGAATAATTCTGATGCATAGTCTAAGTCCATTTTAAGACACTTCTTCCTAACAATGACATTGTTCACAAACCTCTGCAGGACTTGAATGGAATTAAAAAAGGACTTGATTTATACCTCCGGTCACCTTTATGTTTGAGGAGAAGGCTTAAAAAACGACCAATTTTAATGGCGCCACTCCGTTTTTTCTCAAAAATTTATTTTGAAGTCAAAAATTCTTAAGTTCGTTTCATGTTCGAAAATTTTTACCAAAGCAAGAACCGGCAAATCGAAAATTTTTTCATTTAGAGTAAATTTAAATATTGTTAATTGTTTCCAATAGCTGACCAAAATTTTGTTCGCCTAAGATTAAAACGATCCGTCCTGGTTAATTTCGGGTGGTCTTTTGTAAGCTGACATTCTAATTTTCCAAATCCATCAGCCAGAGCCGATAGTTAAAAGGAACTTTTCAATTGGGTTGTCGACTCCCCGAAGACCACAACAAAAAGCCCAAAAACTAGTTAAATTAAATGGTATTATTAAGTTAGCAGTTCAATTGGTAAGCTGCTGGTGGCTTTACTTAACCCAATTTAGAACGCATCACTTGTTTGTGAAAGGAACCAGCAGCCCTTTCGAGCTCTCAGTTTTCAAGCATCGCTTTTCAATCCTGGGAGAATTAAAATATCACACTTTTGCCCCAATTTTTTGTCTTTTTTGACGGAGCTTGAGCTGAGGAATATCTCTACGGAGGGTTTTAAAGCGTCATGGAGTTTTGAGCATCACTGATAAAACGGAGACAATTTTGCTAAAGAATTTAATTGACAAGGGTCCCTTTGGGACTCGAACCGCGCTCTGAAATTCTAATCGAGGAGCTGATAAAAAGGCTGTAAAAAGAGCTAGAGCGCATAGCGACGGATTCCCTTAGTTGATTTTTTGGAACTTAATCAGATTAAATTTCTTTTCAAAAGTCATAACTTTGAAGAACACTCTTGAAGTTTACAACAACTGGGTTATAATTGGGCATAAAATGTGGGTATTTGCTAATATTGATAGCAGCACGGTCAATTGATTACGAGGGAAGAGATGAAAGGGATGAAAAAGTGTGAAAGCTCAACGGAATCAAGTTTATCTTCATAAAAAATAACAGGACATTTAATAAATCTTCTAAGAAGAGCAATGTTTTCATAGATTGTCAGTGTGTGATTCATGTCAAAGTTGTGGCAAGGATAGTTTGTAAAAATACAGAAGAATATTTTTAATTTCATTCGGAATATTCGGATGTTTTTTGTCAATCAGTCATGATCAGCCAGACTGAAGCCATAATTAATATTTTAAGCTTGGTCTTAGTCACTCTCCCAACGAATGAAAAATTTTGCAATAAATCGGCTAATATGAATCTCTGAGAACTATCTAAGTCACTTGCATTGTGCCACTGGCACCGAATACCAGCGCCTCGGAGCGAAGCAAGTGTTTGATACTTGCCAACTTTGCTAGCTTATTCTTCTTGAGTTTCCGTATTTGTATGGTGTGAGTTGTCACAGAGCCACTTAGAGGTAAAGCGACTCTTCTTTCTGAAGACTAAAAATTTTGATCTTATAATTACTAACCAGTGCCTCGAAGTTCCACTTTGAGCTGCCCCATTGTCGAGACTCGACAGAATACACCACCTGGTGCAATCCACTCCCACCCCCTCCAGACGAGGAAGAAGACGAGGAAGAGGGGGTGCTACTGTCCCACACTAGGAGTATCTTCTCCCCTACTGGACGAGAGGGGTCTAGTTTTTTCACTTCCACCGTGGAAGGAGAGGGGGCACTGTCGGCTGAGAAGGCTGAAAAAAGAACAAGGTATTCATCAACGGTATTTTCTTGACTTCATAAAAATAATATCGAAGCTGTTAAATGATAAATTAAAATGAAAAAATTCTTAACCCAGAAGGTGGATCTAAAATGTTCAAAAAAATCAAACAGTTTGTCGATCATTATTCATGTTGTCCAAATTAATTTTCCGAGTTTTTTCCCAAAACAGATTTGCTGAGCACTGAGCCCATCTTGACAAATTTTTTTGCTCCGAAGAGTAGTTTAAAAAAAAACGCTTCGGCGCGCGCTCTTCCATCAAACTTAGAGATTATATTGACGTTAACGACAGTTTGGAGAAATTGCTGAGTTGACAGACCAAAAATGGATGTCGTAAAATAGTATCAAATGGAGAAAACTTTGGGAAGTCAGGAGATCGAGTCTCTCTTCCTCTCTAAATCATCCCCTGTGTTTCACCACCATAAGAGTAAATGCTGTTTTTTTCATGACTTTTTTTCTGAGCATTTTTGTTATTCATTTTTTTTCTGTTTTTTAAGTTTAATTTCCTTTCCTTGCAACATTATTCTTTTTTGAGTGATTTTTTGTGAGACTCACCATAAACTGAGCATGACTCCTGCTTGCATTCTTTCGCCATCTAAACAGATTGCCATTTAAACTTCTGATTCTCCCAATAAAATGCTTTTCTTAAAAAAAATTAAAGAAAACATCTTGTCGTTAGTTGTAAATCAATTCGCAGAAGTAGTCAACATTTTTATCGGCACTTTTCACTTTCGTGTTAAAACTTACACATTGGCTGACACTCTTCCCAAAAGTGTCTCCTGGCCTATAACACCTTGGAACACACTGAATTTGACTGTAGTCCTCCTAAAACACACAACAAAACTAAACAGAAACTCGAATTATATTTAGTTCAAACTTGCTCATTTTACATTAATTTATGAGGAAAGAAAAATTGTGAGGAAAAATTGAGTTCTTTTGTTTGACCAGACGAACCCTTGCTGGAGTTTTTTCCGATAACCAAAATTATTAGTCAATAGCAAAAAATTCACTTTGAGTAAGGGCTTTTTTGTATTCTCATAGCAATCAAACATAATCTCACTTCCAATGGAGACAAATTTGTCGCAAATTTTAATCAATTTTGTAAATATGAGTACCCAATTCCATATTTTACGAAATCATGGAGTGAGCGTATAAATATTTCTCAATTAATCCCAGCACGCTACGCTCGCCAGACAGATTGCAAATAATTTCAGCGCCGGTCATTCATAGCAATACAATATCTAACTGTGTTTTGCATTATTGATTCAATTACCCTATCGGCCCGGTTATGGAATAAATTGACCTTTCCTGTTTTCCGTTCTCATTTTTGCGTGTTTTTTTTTTTAAATTAACAGCCGCTATGATATTGAATCACTTTTTGGTGGCAATCATTACATCCGGGTTTCACAATAAATACAAAGCATTGTGAAAAAAGAACAATCATGCATGATCAAAGGTGTGATTAAATGATTGTCCGACCAAATTTTTCAAATTGCTGAAAAAGCTTTCAGAGAGCCATGTAGAGAATTAGATGACACACGGTGTATTAAAAAAATAAACAACCACGCGATTAAACGTTTATTGATTTCTTGTTTACGAATAGAGAGTACACAAGTATTCAATTGAATAAATTTGAAATGAATTACTTTTGTGATTGTTGTTCATCAAATTTTATTAACAAAAAATTTGAAAATCTCAAAGAGTCGTCAGCAACAAAGAAGGCAAAAATGAGAACCACTACTAGTTTTTATTTTTTCTTGTTGGTGTGAAAAACTCGATTCATGTCTTTTTAAATGATATATTGATTTTTTGTGAAAAAAGAAATCTGAATCTATTCAAACCTAGGCGTCTCGACTAATTAAATATAACATATATTAAATCGGAATACGACGCGGAACAAGAAAAAACTGAGGAAATCCTGCGGGATTTTAGCTTCATCGCGAGGCCGAAGATTGTAAAAGAGCTGAAAAGGACAAATTCATCCCTCTGTGTAAAATTGAATTCAGCCCGTGGCTAACTTGTGACCTGTCAAAAGCACATTTTGTTATCTCTCCATTAGGGAAAGCTCCTTTTAAACTAAAACCGATCCTCTTTTTTTGCCTCAACTCAACTGCTTCCATTGAGAACCGCACACTCTATTCAGCCATTGCATGTTCTAATATCACTGCTATGATTATTTTTCTGATTCTTTTGCCAACAATTAAACATTACAAAAAGACTAAAAGGAAAAATAAGACAAAAAAAGGGATTTATTATGAGAAACCGGTCCAGATATTTTTAGCCCCGCCTCTGGAAAAGAGGGAAAAAGATGTTTGCTTCCATATATTCTGGCTGGTTAAGTGCCACGCCCTTCCTTCAAATATGTCCAGTTGGATTCATCAAAACAAACGGTCTATTTTGATTCGATTGAAGGAGCGACTTAGCGACTTTTTTGTAAACTAATTAACTTCCAGGCCAAATCCAGCAGAGTTTTACTTTCAAAAATTACTGTAAATTTAATTCGCTATTGTGTCAATTTTGTTTGAACTTCAAATCAGAGCCGAATTAGGAGCCCAAAGGCAAACCACTTATAGTCAAAAAACCACTTTTTTTCGTGATTATTCACGAGGAAAAATACACGAACCAAGCGATTCTATTAAAAAATAAATAAATGATAGTCTGATATCTTGCCACATCGGTGTTTCAAACCAGTTGAATGAAAAAAAAATCTTTTTATTTTTATGATAAAGGTGAACAGTGAAGTGACATAAAAGTAATTACATTTTCATATCATGGTAATCTGAAGTTGTTGAGTGCATTAGCGATTCACCCAAGCACGCCTCAAGTGTTATTGAGCTTTTATCACTCACAGCTGAAATTATTGATGTGAAATGATAACCCCTCTCGAGGTCCGGCACAGTCTCTGGTCCAAAAGAGATTACATTTCCGAAACAGACTTAGAACTGCTGTTAATATTTTTCAACAGATTTAATCCCTCTGATTCATTTTATGATAACTGGGCACAGGACAGGCTATTGACATTTAAAACGCAAGATAATTTTATTCAAGCCATTAATATCGATTTTTTAAAAAGCTTAAAAATAGCCACGTACCAGTAGAAATGAAAAATTAATGAGAACAAAAAAGTACATTGTGAGATGCAGACTTTTTCTTAAGAGCTAAAACGCCATGAAGGTTTTTTGAAATCCAGTGTTTTGATTTTTATTGAAAATCATGTAAATATTTTGAGATAAATTTAGATTTTTATTTCCAGCTAGCAATAAAATGTTAACAACAGCTTATATCGAAAGTGCCTATCAGTCGTAAAAATAGTTAGAAGAACTTTTATCTTGATCAAACTGAAATTCAGAGCCATATTTTCTTAAAAACAACAGACTGACTTCGAGAAGTTACCAAATTATCTCTTTGGTTCCAAATCCCGAACACGATGTCGCCAAATATATTTGGAATTAGAAGTAATCCTGGAAGCTCTAAACTGTTTCAAATCTTTAATCCCAATCGACCGATAGCATCGCCCGGTGGAATTAAGAATCAGTAGTCTATTTAACAGGAAGCGAACATGGTAACGGTTCTCGGTTCCTTCACACTTCGTTCATTCTGACTTAATTTAAACCGTTTTTTGATGATTAACGAGTATTAGTTTATCATTCCACAATCGTAGCCGTCAAATAAAGACTAATTTAAGGCATCCATTTTAGGGCGGGAAAAAGCACGTTTTTGGCTGAAACTTTACAAAAAATGCTTAAAAACGTCGTTTTCGGCCTGTTTTATTTTTCAACTATTTGGTAGAAAAAAATAGATTATTATAGTGATTTGGAAGAGCAAAGGTCGACAAAATTTTCAATAATTTTTTGAAAAACCGCCCCCGCCTTGAGAAAATTCTAGATCCGCCCTGGTTATACGGTTGGTGTTTGATCGTGAAGTAATTAAAAATTAAAATTAACAGACCGAGAACAGCTTACCAATGACTTTCTGTTTGTGATTGTTTATAATATTTTTAGTTGATTACACGCCACGGTAAACGAACGACGTGATCAATCACATCATTCTTTTCACCTGTATGAAAATGCGTTTTAATACTGATTGCTTGTAATAACTTATTACACTTAATTTTCACAGCGAAAATCATTGCATTACCAACATGTGGTTTATATACACGTGTTTTAACTTTATTTCTCTAACCTCGAGGGAAATTTAACTAATGAAAGGTGTGCCTATATTTTGCTTTTGTTTTAACGTCAAGTGAAGTATTGTAAGAGTTCACAGGTCAGCTAACTTGCCGCTAATTAAACCCGAGTTAGCAAGATTCCATTGTTGTTTTGAGATTTTCAAAACTGACATTTTAATATGGTTTCTATGGCATCAGAGTTGAATAAACCTCAAAAAGTGTGATTCAAGTGTGAACAATGCGTGAAAAAAGTTACCAAAAGGCAAGAATGCAAGAAGAAAAGTTGTGATTAAGATTGCTGCAGGCAGTTACATGTCTTACAACTGAAGAACAATGCCTATGTTGTTGGACCAAGGTGCTTGAATGAATTGGCTACAATAATACATGCTGGGTATCAGTCAGATAAGAGATTGGTTTGAACTTGCGTCGATTGAAACCACTTAGATACCATGGCGTCACTGAAATCATTTAAACTTTCCGAAAATCTAACCATCATTCAAAACTCTCCTTTTTCATGTATTTCACATCATTTAAGATTTTAGAAAAAAAAACGCAATCTGCGCTAGTTTTGAGGATCACAAGGTCGAAACCAAAGTTGATGATTCTGCAAACTCTCAAATTGCAAACTCACATAGATTGCTTTGGACTTGCAAGCACCCAACTTCTAAACCAGGAGATTTTCTGTGCCCATAACAAGCATGACACAACGGGCAAAAAATCAAAATTATTTTAATATAGAAAATTTAACCGAGAACGACAAAGGCAAACATTGTAAACTTCATTGATACAACCTTTTGTAGAAAAAAACAATTCAAAGCCAATTGCTCATTAAAATTTATTTTTTTGGGGGGGGATTTAATCGTCTGGCAAAATTTCTATACCTAAACAAGAAAAAATCTTGAACTAACTACGTTTTAAAGTACAGTCTAGATGAATCTGATATTATTTGAGCTTTTCTAAGCTCGGATTAGAATAAAATCCACAGGTGCTGGAAGTTTTAGTTTCTCCATATAACGTCACAATCTACCAAGACAATAGACAGACATCAACTAAGCGACTTAACGGAAGACGGAAGCCGATCCGAGTATCTAAAAATCCTTGTTTTCATTTCGATTATGCAAAAGATGAAGTTTAAATTGAGCGAAAAATTGCTTTAGCTCTGCCGGCTCCAATGATAAAAAAAACTATTTTTGGAAGTGAATCAAGAAAATCTCATCTTTTATTACAACGATTAAGAGAAAGCTAAAAAGTTTAACTGTTCGAGTGATCTAAAGTAATTTTAATTGAAGTTTTCAAAAAATTAGATTTTTTTTCGATAAAACGATCTGGCTTTCATAAACCGGGAATTCTTATTACAGCGAATATTTGAACTATTGTCAATTCTCAAAACTGAGTAAGACATCCTCAAAAAGGCAGGCTGGAAATGATGCTAAATAATTTATCAGAAAAGAAGAGTGCTCTTGATGCTCTTGATGTTTATTGAATTTCAGTTCGCTTTCAACAATAAGTTTAGTTATTATAACCTGGCTTGAACTGACCGTAGTTAACGATTCATAACCGGTCATTGTATTTTAAGTGAGCAAGGGTAGCAAAATAGTCCAAGTTTTCATAAAATCTTCTTGCAACCGTCATACACACACCACCAAAAGAGGTGGAGCTTATTTATCTAGATAATGGTTAAACTGGTTCGCCGCGTGTGATCAAGTAGAATATACCAGATTTTTAGAGGATATTTCCAGTTATATGGGCTTCTGGAGCTGCTAATTTATGAGACTGGGTTGATGCTAGATTATCCCATATATCGGGCGTGATCGGAGGAAGCAATAAAATAAAGTTAATCAATTTTCTAATCTTCAGCTTATTGTTCGGTCCATCGCCTCATGACTTCCAGGCATCACTCAAAATGAATGGAAAGGGCTCCTTGATTGGGCTTACAGTGAGAGAGACAAAAAAGAGAGAAAGAGCCCAAGATGCCGCACCCGCTAATTTGCAAATCTCATCATCGTGTGGGTTGGAAAATTATATTGGGCATTGGAAAAATTAAATCTCCTTTTATTGAAATATATATTTATTCGTGAAGCAACCACGAACTGCAGCGAAAAACCAAGACGGTAGAAAAAGTTTAATTTCATATTTTTCTGTAAGAAAATTTGGCTTGCAATACTTAGTTGATGGAATTTTTTGAATGACATGAGGAGGGTATTTTTCCCAAATAGTTCCTACAAATAATGTAGAGTCAAATACACCTCTGAACAGGTATCAGATTTTTTAATAAGTGATTTTCAACAAGGTGATTCATAATTTACAGGTCCTTTTAATGCAATCTCAATAAAATAATTATGATTTGATATAACTTTGCAAGTTGTTCACCTTTTCGCTCATATTAATTTACATTTTTCTGGTAATTTCTATTATGTAAAAGAGTTCAAAAGCACAAAAACTTGTTTTTTCTCCCTTTTTCACTTATTAACCTTGTTTTTTGAGGAAAAGGAGATCAATGTAGTCAGGAAACATTTAAATTTGTCCTCGGGAGCGGCCCAAAAAGGAAAAGATGCATAGATAATCCCCATTAACCAGTTAGCACTTCTTCAGACCCCGAAATATTATTTTTATTATAACATTTACCCGAATGCCGCGGGAATTTAAAGCAGACTTGGGATTATGAATGCAAAGCTGCAAGGGGAAGGTGTGAATAAATTAGGGGGAAGTGGGAAAACAAAAACGGGTACCCGTTAACACCTTTATGCTACCTGTTAACAGCAAACTACTCCCATGTTTGTTTTCATAAAAGTGTGAAAAAAGGGATCGTTGATGTGAGTTTAATGCAAAACAAGCATGACTGACTTTTTGCAGAATGATAATGAGATAATTTTAGTAAAATCGTATGCTAATTGAACGGTCTTTCCTTTCTTGTCCCAGTGAAGATGTGAAACGGTAAACGCCCTGCCTCAAAATTTGAGTTAGTTCACATCTTTAATGTTTTTTCTTATAAACGTTTTTTTTCTTTGAAACAAAACAAAAAAGCACCTCATGAAAAAATTTTATTTCAAATGTTCCAAAAAGATTTTTTTCTGGTCTTTTTGTTAGCTCTTAAATTCAATTAGCCATGCTGAGCGTTGTTGAATTGTTTTACTGGACAAATAAACGAAGAAAAAAATGGAAAACTGTGAACATTTGCGTGAAAAATTAGTGCTGATTTGTTAACTGCTCCACATGGAGGTTAGAATTTAAGTGATTTAGGAGAATATAAATTTAGATTGACATTCAAACAATAGCCAGGCACTGATTTAATTTGATTGCAAAAAATTCAATCACAGGCCGCTCATTTATTGCAAACAATGTTAGGGGCATTTTTTGCCAAAATGCTCCAGACTTTAACACAAATTTGCATAAAAACAGAGCCGATAAATTTTTTGGCCCCCAAATAGGTTTATGGGTTAAAAAATTGCACTAATTTGCGACCAGGCCTTTTGCGTTTTAGCGATGTCTAGCAACTTCACAGGATTAAAATGGTGTCAAAAATAGCGCATCTGAAGTTCTAGGCCGCTGACCCAAAAATTTATTTTAAACAAAAAGAGCTGTCATATTCTGAAATGATGTTGAATCTTCTCACAATAACAAATATTTGGAGTGTGTCAACTCAGATGAGCGTTAAATTAAAATGAATTCAAATCAACTTGAAATCGAATGATGTATATATGTTCCCCATGATTCAAAATGAATGTGTTTTAAGGAGTGTTTAATTATTTTATGAAATCATTACTACTTCACCCTCAAAATTTTTTCATAATTTTTCTCTGCAGACTATATGTTGTGAAAACAGTTCATGTTATTCCAGAGGACTCTAAGTTAAAACTACTAACATTAGTAGCTGGTTTGAGAGAAGAATGGTCCAAAATCAGATCTGGTCCAAAGGCAGAACAAATGAAATCTGTTTCAATACAAAAAATATCGTATGTGTATCTGAAACTCAAACTATTTTTTCCCGCGACATTAAATATCTAATTTTTTTGTACAATAAGAAACTTCATTGGATGAAATAAGAAAGTTTAGACGTTGTTACTTTTAGGCGCTAAAAGCTAAACGGCCAAACCTTAGTCGTTTTGGACACGATAAGAAACGTTTTACAGAACTAGAACTCCCTGAAACGACCTAATAGCGGGGAGTAGATAGTGTGCCGATTGGAGGTTGGTTTAATTAGTTGAATCTGCTCTTGGACACGTTCTGCTCTTGTAATATTCCGATTAGTGCACCCCTCCACTAGATTTGTTGCACAAAGTGTTTCTCGTCACCAAAATTTTTTTGAATTTTGCTCTCAAATTTATTTGAAGTATCTGACATCGAGAAAAAACACCGCTCGCCTTTTTCTTCGATTCCATCCAAGGAGAGGACAGATGGTTCGTTTTAGTGCATTGCAAGGACAGCTGCAAGCTCCTTAGCTTTACTCCTCAACGTATCACGATCATTGGGAAGGAAAATGTAGAGGAATTTTGTATAAGGATGTGTTTTAGTTTTTTGTCGTTTTTTGTTATCTCTGTAAACTCAGGTACCACAAATAATGATTACATTGGGTTGAGCGATATATCATATTGAAGCCTGTTTAGACTTAATATAATCTAGGTTATCAAAAAATGAAAAAGTTGTCCCGGTGTTGAGAAAAACCTTTGAATCCTTTGAATTTTAATTTAATTTTGAGTAAAGCGTTCGAGTAACGTTCTTTATACAAAAATGGGTAATTTAGGCTTCCTTTTTTTAAACTAAAACTAGTTTTGGAATTTCCCTCTTGCGCTAAAATTTGCGTTTGAGATTTTTTTTTGTTTGCATTTTTTTGAGACAAAACCTGAGACAAAGTTTTTTTTGTATATTGTCGAAATGTTCTGGGCTACTTGCACAGCAACCGGCTGTCCTCGTTTTTCTCTGAAATCGTCTGAATAGAAACCCGAACCTGCTTTTACAGTAACAGATAGTGTTCAGTTTCTTTTGCATTCGAAAGCTTTGCTTCAGCCAAAACTTTTTGTCCACCTCGCTTGAGGTGGCCGTGCCGTTTTTTGAGGCAGTTAAAAAAAAGAAAGAAAAAAAGTACCAGACAGCAGAAGTTTCATCCACTCACTTACAGAAAGAAAAACAAAAAACGAGAACAAACAAATAACGGAATAGGTTGGAAGGGGCACTACTCTACCTTCCATCAAAAGACATATTAAAATTAGCTTTTTTTATCTTTAAATGCCAGTTTCAGTCAATAAATTTGTAGCAAAAATATGAACTTAAGTGTATTTCTTCTCTCAAAGAGTGGGGAAAAATTTTGAGCGAAAATGGGTGCATTTTTAAGCAAATTCAAAATCCTCAAAGCAAGTTCGCATGAGACTGAGTCTGGCTTTTAAAGTGTTTTCTGTAGTGATTGGTATCAAGAAAAAACCGAAAGCTGATCTTTGATGAAAAAATTTGGTCTGAATAGTTTTGTTTACAGACCGTTTTTCTGTGGAAAAGTAAGGACCACTCCCCATCTGATTATTTAGATGTTCAGCGGACCCTTTTTCTTCAGGGATTCGACCCCCTGCCGACCCACAGGGTCCCCCCTTTGTTACTTTTTAAGAAATCCATTTTTGGCTGACCGACCCTAAAATTTTTTCTAAAGGCACCTTTGGCGCCAATATATACTATTTTTGAGGGGAAGGGGGGGGGGAGCGCGCGCCAAAAAAAAACTCATTTTTTTTGTCAAAATTTTTTAAAAAGTGCCCAAAAACAGTTTTTTTGACCTGTTTTTTCAAAAATTTGCCTGCGGCGCAGAACATTTGGCCAAAACAGCATCTTTTTACTACTTTACAACAGCTCCTAAAATCAATTTGGTCAACCTAAAAAAAATGTCGTCAAAACTTTCGACAATTTTTCGTAAATCCGCCCCCTCGAGAAAATCCTAGATCCACCCCTGGCACTCCTGCTAAGTTATCTTTATACTAGGGGCCATAAGAGGTTAAAGCTACAAAGTTTGATATCGAAAAAATTAGATTACAAAAATACAACTGAAAAGTCAACAGGGTTCATAAAAAACCAGCCCTGGAAATCACAAAACAGTGAACTGGATGCATGAATTAGTTTTCTCATTACTTAGAACCAAGCAAAAACTTAACCGGCAATTATATAACACCGAAAGTATAAATTAGATATCACAATTATAAAACAGTGATAGGTTTATGTTCAGTAACAAAATTTGAGTTTCTTTTTTTAAAAAAAATCTTTCATTTTACATTATAAACCACAATTTTGAAACCCACAGTAAGTTGCGAACCTTCGTAATGTTTGCGCTTGGCTTAAGCATTGACTTTAAATAGCAAATTGGCAAAAAACTGATAGTTTTCTGCTCAGTTTCCTAGGTGTTTTTTTTCTACAAATTGTAAGTTTCAGTATTTTGGTACCTTCATGCATTTCAACTGGCAGAACGCTTGACAAAGCTCCTCCTGCTCCACGTCGTTAGACTCCTTGCCATATGTGCTCTCACTGTTTCGGATAAATGCAATTAGGACGAACGCAACAAAGTTCAAACTCATAAATCGAATTGTCATTTTTCTGTTTACTTTTATCAGATTTTTTTTGGATCTAGTTTTTTTAAAAGAAATTTGTTAGTTTATAACAGAATGACAGAATTGAATGCCTGGCGATGATGATGTATAAGTTCAGCTTCACTTTGTTGTATGAATCAAAAAAATAACAAATGGAACATAACAGCTGAAAAAATGGGTTCCCAAAAAGACTAACTATGAGATAGTAACAATAACAACGACTGAATTGAACATTTGTAGCCAAACATGACTTGTATTGGATTTTGTTTTTCGGCTGTTAACTCGGGCACGTAAAAGGGAGCAAAAATACTTGAAGCGACGTTTAAGGTCGCTGCTTGTTGTTTATTGTGAAAACGAAGTATTTATTCAGAAGACAGTAAAATTTTGTTTTTGTTTTTCTGGGCTTTGTTTTGGGTTTGTTTTCCACGCTCAGCTGTGGGCGCTTGCAAACCTGCGGCTATAAAATTGAAGTCTGGGTTGACGATTTTATGGAAAAATAAGACCTGTAAATGTGAAAAATGAGGTTATGGGACTGACTGGAAAAATTCTGGTTTAAGGAAAAGAAACGTCGCAGTTTAAGTTTAAGGAAAAGAAACGTCGCAGTTTCTGGACTTTCTGGGAGCGTATTGTAAATATTGAAGAGTAACTCCAATTTTTGGAAGAATCTAAAGAAAGGTGTTTGTTTATTTCCACCAATGCCCTAATATGTTGAGTTTGGAAGGGACTGTTTAAAACAAAAGTATGTCAAACAAATTAGACTGAAGAGTGATTGGAAACTATTCAAATGTTGAAGACAGATTTAGTCAATCTGCAATTTGAAGAAAATAAGGAAGTAATGCGAAAATTTAGGGCTCGTAACTGTCTGATGAAAAACTGATAGTTTGAAATATCTTTGATCTATTTAATCAAACTAGACCAAAGTGGTAACAATTTTAGATTACCGGGTTAAAAACGGGGAAAACCAGGTAATGGATATCAAATTTACGGTTTGGAAAAAAAATCAGAGTTATTTTGATTTTTCTTTTGTGATTGTCTTTTTGGTCAGTGAGTTGATTTCCTTTTTCACTCGTAGTGATAAAGAAATGATTCCTGAAGAATTCAATAACCAATGAATAAGTTATAAGTCTATTTTTCTGCCTCCGATTTTATTATAATAGCGTCATTTGATTATCCCTATTTTTTCAATTTTAGTTTTACTTTTCTCTGCTCAACCCGATATCCTCGTTGGCTATCGTCGTCCACGTGAACAAGTATGAGGAGCAACTGGAAAATCGCCGGCCGGGAAAAGGGGGGAAAAGATAAAGCGGTTAAATAAAGGGATAAATTCCAGAGGAAAAGAGAGTAGAGACCTATAGGAGGTCTACGGGACTACCCATTGCAATGCACTGAGTGGTTTGTATACCGCTAATAGATTGGGCGCAAAAAGCAATATTGCCGCTAGTTGAAAGAATTCAGGTAATCGGGTTGAATTCTGATGGGGAATTTTTAACCCAATAAATGGATCGATCTACAGATCTCATTTGAATAATTTGACTGTGGCTCAGTTTTTTTTTGGATATTTTGGATTAAGTGTGATCAACTTATGCTACAAACTTCAAACAAGCTTGACAGACTTCAGGGTGAAAATTATGAAACAGACATAAGGAAACTAAATAATTCGAATCTTCACACCAGTCAAATTTTAAAACTGGGTTCAATAATCGACAATGAAAGTTGCCTAAAAAAGTAAAAATAAGAGAAAGGATCCTCATTTATGACCTCACTTTTTGAATGAAGAGTTCGAGTGAAGAAAACTATAACAAGCAGAGTAGAAAATAGTGTAAATTTACTCAGAGGCGAATTTCAGTATTATCTAAATGGGCGATGCCAACTTGGTTCTCTGGGCCGGAAACTCGCAAATCAATCTTTTTTTTCTAATATCAGCCAGAGAGAATTTTCACTGCATTCAGTTAACGCAATCTTTTTCCAGGGTTTTCGATGCAAAATCTTAAAAAAATTGGCAAATTACAATTTTGGTACATTTCTTAGCTCCATCATATAAACTAGAATATTCTACTTTTATACTTCAAGATTTCAAGAGAATTCTGTAAGATGAAAGCGAATAAAACCTCAAAAGGGAATAAAAGGTAATAATTAATTAATTTTTGGCTTTTGAGGAGTCGGAAATATTGTTTTATGAAGAATTCCACTTTTTTAAAAGAAGAAAATCTGATTACAAAAGCTATCATAACATTAAAATAAAAGACCACTACATAAATATTAAATCGATCATTCTTTTGCTTTCTATTTTCAACACAAGTCGGTCAATTTTATTGGCTGATTTTTTTTATCAAATGAGTTTTATCTTGTTTTTAAATACATGATGTATAGATTCGGACAGAACCACGGCTACGAACTGTTTTTTTTTCTCTAAGAAATCAGTGACGAAAACAGAAGAAAATAATCAGGGGGGGGGGGGGGGGTAACAAAGGACTCGGTCGGTCATCTACATTAATAGAGCTGAGCTGACATTTACACACCCTTGATTTATGGATTTTGACTCAATGATGTAATCGAGGAACCTATGCTCTCGAGGCGACAAATTAGCGGGGCGACAACCGCTTTAGCTCTGCGTATAGAGAAAAGTCTAGAGCTGAAAGGTTTCTGAATATCACCGGCAACGACCTGGACATTCTGAAGAGTCATAAACTTGGTCCCAATTGCCCTGATGTTGGTCGCATCTGTCTTGGAATGAGCTTGTCATTCGATAGGAATAGCACTGAGAAACATAGCCAACAGAAGACAGTAGAAAAATATTCATGAACGCAAGAAAATTTAAAAAACACTTAATCGAAAAAAAATTCAATTTTCAAATTTCAAAAATAAAATTATATGGCCTTAAAGCTCTTTGAATTTCAAGATCAGTTTCTTTGGTCTCTTTTTTGATAAACTATACCCAATTTGAGAAACCGGTGTCTGTATGTAATTCTTTATTTCGCCGGGATACCTGAAATGAAAAATAAAAACCACTATCAAAACTAGAAGTAGATCACGTTTTCCAATACCTTTACACTTGGGCTGTTCGATTGAGGAGTTTGGTTTCAACCGAAATGAGCTGAACTTGAGCAAAAATCAAGCGTCAATCCTCAAAAATTCAGATTTTAGCATGAATAAACTTAAACAAACTTTCCTGAAAAAAAAAACAAACAAAAAATCACCAAGACCAGTAGCGGGTTTAATATTCTTTTTAAAAAAATCAAAATATCCGTCGACTTTATTTTATGTCAATCAAATCAAGTTTCCGAGAGTTCTCAGAAAACAATAAAGACCCTAATTTGCCAAAGTTTTTCCAGCGGCGCAGAAATTTGCCGTTTTTGGACCTTTTTGATAGAAAATTTTTGACGCAACAAAATTGCGCTTTTTTGGCTCGCACTCCAAGAAGACGCCCTTACAAAATTTTTAGGGATGCTTGCCAAAAATGGGTGTCATGAAATAATACCAAATAAGAGACCAAATCGGTTGGCGAGGGGTTGTTGGAATCCCTGAGTAGAAGAAACCTCTGCGTCCCCCCGCCTCCCATTAAATCCGCCCCTGACTAAGACCTCTATAAGAGTATTGACTACGTTCGTGACTCTTAAAAAAGTATAAATTCTGAAAACAAACTAAAAATAAATCAATTTCAATCAATTGAAACCGATAAACCATAGCAAACTTAGGAACTGCAATGGAATCTAAATAGATCGAATATGATCTATCCGCAAAAAATCGTAATGATTTGAATGCCTTTTGGTAGTTAGTATTTACCTTTATCCGAATCTTACCAAAATCGATGTAAGTCAGTTTTTTTTGGTTTGGTGAAATGTTCAATTTTGTAGCCTTTCACGTTTCAAATCTTGTATTCATCATAAGGTTTGCTCCAAACTTTGGTTACAAGAAAAATCATTGTTTGTTTTCCATTAAACTACAGCCATTTGACGAGTGCTTTTTGACGCAAATTCTTAATTTTATGGGCGACCTGTTAAAGTTTTGCAGTCATAGGCTTTTCGCAGTACAACAAAGACAAATGTGAGCTAAACTGATACAAAAGTCTTCTTCATAATCAATATTTCTTGTGCTAAGTTCTAAGGCGAACCTCCTTGTTCTGAAAAACCCGATTTGCAACAGTTATATTTTTAAAGAGATTCGCACAAATCATTCCTAATTTTAGAGACGAACATACCAAAAAATCCGTATTTAACTTGTAAGGAAAGATGCATGAAAGTCCATTCAAATTGTATTAACATCTGTCAATTCATCAAAAAGACAATAAACAAATGTTTAAAATAATTATTCTTATTTAGAATCCCTTCAAATAAATTTTATAAAGTTTTTTTTTGATTTCTTACTAAAAATTAACATTTTTGTCAGTGCGAAAACCTGTAACCGAGTAATTCATATAATTTAAAACAACTGGTAAAGTGATATTAAACAGAACAGCTGTCTATAAACAGCAGAGATATCCAATCACAAAGCGTATGTACCAAACTTTATCACTTGAAAGATTTGAGCTTTTTTATATCCAATTAAGCTCAATCCGCTCAAAGATCGCTCAAAAAAATCCTCTCATACCGCTAAGCTTGTAGCAAGAAAGCTTTTTATTAATGATAGGTATTGAGTTTAAGTCCGGGGTGGCGCACTCATAGAGTACTAACAGATAAGTTACACCGTCTTTTCGTCACGCTATCTAAATTTCGGCCGGATAGATTCGTGAAATTTTTTAGTCTAAAACCAATCTTAATCTTACTCGTATAACTCCTAGTTTCAGTAGATCTAGTGTATACTGGTATTTGCGAGATAAGCTATCAATAACTGTTTTGAAGAAGAACGACTGTTTGCTGGATTATATTTATTCTTTTCCGTTGCTGAAACTATGAATAGTTTCAGCTATACAATTTATAGTAAGTTTTAATTATGGATCATAATTGTTTATTTAGAAAATTTTACAGAGATCGTTTTATCAATAATATAATTGGATATAAATACTAGTTTAAAATGGTTCCACCAATCAGGGGTTCAGAGAATTTAAAGTTTTAATGTTTTTTGTAGTGAAGGATGGATGGCGAGATTCTTTGATTCTTAGAGTAGATTCGTTTGATGCAGTGGCAGCGTGAATGAGGAGAAGGAAACAGTTGCTCGTGTTATAGAGTAGTTGTCTTAATCGAGAGAAGGAGTACAGTCGTTCGTTTTTCAGAAATGGGTTTCGTGTATTTGGATCGTGTTCAGTAATCGTGTTAGGTTTCAGATTTATGCAATGATGTGTTGATATCGTTAAAAAAGAGCGAGATTACGTGAATTCTTAATTATTCATCGAATAGCGAGGACGGGTTTGACCTTTCTGTGTGAAGCGCCAAGTGAAGAGGAATCGTATGTGAGATCAGCATCGAGTGGCATTATTCGTCTTCAATGAGTACCTTTCCTGCGATGTTGGGTCAATACTTTAAATTCTATGAGGGCGCGTTGCATATTGTGTGGAAGGAGTGCGTGAATTGTGGGCGAAAGAATATCAATTATTTGAGTTTTATTAAAGAAGCACACATCAAAAGGTTAGTGCTCATAAGTTCACTTTCTTTTTATAATTTTACTACTTCGAATTTTAATTTTACTACAGAGTTATCAATTTATTCGTGTATATTGAACATTATTGCACCAGAATAATTTATATTACACAGTTAGAGTTATTAATTGAAACTTGAAAATTTTTTGCTTTCTCTCTGATTCTTTTAAATGATTGCTGGGTGAAATCTAGGCTGGAAAGGTGAAACACACGTGTAAAAATGTTGAGTATCAATATTCATTTGTTTTATTAATAAAATATAAACTTATCGAGATTCGGGGTCCGGGAAAAATCCAAGGGGGAAGTGAGTTTTAATTATGTCGGATATTAGTAAAAGCTTAGCAAGCTTGCTTATTATGTTTTTAGTGCGAAGCAAAGGTCAAAGAAGTTCAACGCTCTGATGATATTTACTTCTTCGCTAATAGCTGAAAATTCGAGATTTGAAATTTGTATTAGACTATAATCCTTGTGGTTAAATTTGAGTTTGTGTATGTTTTCCAGTAGGACTACTTCGATGGCATGAATAGTATCGTGGGGAACGATGACTGAACGGGCGTCTTCAAGTGAGAAGGTGTTAGTTAAGAGACAAAAAATTTACATCTGTCGGATAGGGTCATAATTACGGAAGATGCCGTGCACGTTAGTAGATTTAATGCAATAAGTGAAATTTAAGAAATAGGGTGATTTGAATTTTGAGTTAATAAACATATAGCGATGGTGAGCAGTGAATATCTCTTTCGTTTGGTGTGCAAAAAATAAATGTTAGTGCAAATTGATTGAATTTGTTGAAGAAGGGTTCGTAAGCTTCAGTATTTGTTAGTGCGTGATCAATGATGTGGTCCAATTTCTTATTTGTGCCATCAAGATGAAAAATTTATTCTGATTTGATCAAAAACTTCTCGGTTAGTTGTGAGTTGATATTAGGGTCGTCGTCGTATGACAGTGTGGTCATAGTGGTTAAAAGAAAATCTGTTAGCTTTTGTGCAATAAATCGGTTTAGCGTTTGATTTAAGCCTATGGCGGTGAAATGGTTTAGATGAAGTGCGGTAGTTGCTGATTGAATGAGAGAGTCATAAAATTCGTTATTAAAGGGGTTATTCTTTAAAGGTATTTTCAGTGGATTAGTAAAGTTATAGAAGGAAGTTCATGAAAATATTGGGAGTAGTGAATATTCAACTACGTATTGTGCGCGTTGAACACCATTTACTCCATTATACTAGGTGTAATGAGGGAAGAATGGTAGATCACTTACTGGGAAGTCTGGTGTGTTAGTGTGATATGGGTGGTGAGAAGAAAGTCGGGACGATCGTGGGTGACTAATGAAAAAATGCGTGGTGTGGCGTTAGGTTGTTTTCGTTTCATATAAACTCTCTCCAGCACGTAAAGGTGCAAGGTGGACAGATTGAGTTAAGGATTTGGAGGTGGAGTCTGAATAGATTAGTTGATGAATTGTTAGTTGATTGTTTGTGTTATGAATTTGTTGTTCGTGATTAATAAATATATGTAAATTGTGCTCAAGTTGATTGTCAGTGAAAGGGCTGGATACATCGGGTTCAATACTTAAAAGAGAGGAAAAATAGGGGTAGCGTCAGTGTGCGAAGAAGGGGAAAGAGAGGGTTCAACAGGAATAAGAGGAGTTATGGGCTGAAAAGGTGGCTGGGAAAAATTAGTGGGACTGGGTTC